TTCGGCTCATGGCTATCGAAACTCTTTAATCTAAATTTAGTCAGTTAATATTGTATAACTTTGGTCAATTATGATAATTAAAAAAAAAGGGAGTTCCCCACCCCTCCCCGCCCAGGATATGTGTACCCTGATTCACCAGTTCTAAACTCACCAAAGGAGTTTTTTATGTCGACTAAGCTGAACTGATGAGAATCCTGTGAACAAAAAATTCTCTTGAGTGTTTTCTGGAGCAATTTTAATGACAGTACTGACAATGTTTGTCTACAGCTAAACATACAACATCCCTAACTCAACCTTGCAAACCTATCAAACAATAATCTTTTGTTCTCTAGAACATAGCCATGTTGTAAAGACAACTTGAGAAGATTGCATGAAATGGTTGCAGGCAAACGTCGTTTTATCTTATTTGGTCTACTACAATACTTGTTTTGCAATCTCTTTATCAGTTGATGAAATAATGATATCATGGTCAAGCTTTGCCCTTTTTTCATTTCTATTTCTAACCTTCATGTGTTGCAGCAAATCTGAYACAGTGTCGGTTGAAGACTCACAAAACAGGCAAACCACAGGRTCAGGATCTTCTGTCCAGTCACTCCAGTCACTAAAATTAAATTGTACACAACWTCAAAAATAGCAGTAGAACATGATAGATAATCAGGTCACTAGTGAGGAGACATGAAAATGATYCAATTCAATACATCAACAATGTCAGTAAACCAATCAAAATAAATCCAATATCCATCATCAATCAATCATTTAATCAATCAATCAATCAATCATGCAATAATTCAATCAATCAATCAATCTATCTATTTATCACGTAATCGATCAGTCAATCAATTAATCAAACTGATCAATGAATCATTCAGTAATAATAATGTACTTACTCATTGTTGTTAGCTTGGTTGTCTGATTCGTTATCATCTACTTCATTCTGCAGCTGTTCCCATGTTTTACCTAACTCCTAATATGTAAATAGATAGAAAATAAAAGCTATTACAACAGGAGAAATCGCTGTGACAAAAAAATAAAACAAAATAAAAAAGCTAATACTGGTATGTTTGGCTCAACAAAACTGACCATTCAAATTCTCAATTTCTTTGACAATTTCTTCTTGACAATTTCTAAGCTTCCTGCCACTTGTTCAATTTCAGTGTTAAGGAAAAAATTGAGAAAAGTGGACTAACATAATATTTAAAATACAAATAAAGTTTGTATTCATAAAATCAGGCTCAGTTTCCTAATTTCTCTCGGACAAACATACTTTTTTCTTGTCAAACTATGATAAAATATACAATGTCCGAMCAGTTTCAATGTCTTACCATGTAAATCTATGATGTAGAATCTATCTATCATATTGTTTGTTATACAATATCATCTAGTAACAGTTTGGCTTACCAGGTAATTTATGATGTAGAATCTGTCATATTGTTTGTTTTTAGGATTGATTTTCTTGTGTTGTTTTTTCCTCATGTGCTCTTTTAATGTTGCTCTGTCTTTGAATTTCTTTTCACAATAAATACACTGCATACTGAAACAAAATGCACACAAAAAAAATGTGATAAGACAACATTAGGCTGACTACTTCATTYTCTCTTCATCTTGGTGATGGTTGTATTCAGTGAATTCTTCAAAATATAGAATCAATCCCATTATTAACATTGTTTAGTTGTAAAGAGATTTAAGACAACAACAAAACCATTTAGCATGAAAATGCTTATGACATTTTAGTTTACATCTCCAGATAATAGTGAATTAAATGTTATCGACAATGTAATCAACTTTTGCTACTTTATGTCGAATATTCTACTTGCAAATAATTTAAAAAACATGATATGCAAATGACTTTATTGTAGCCTTTATGTCGCTGTAACAATGTTCATGGAATTGACTGTAGCTGTCATGAGGCAAGAGTCAAAGCTTCAACAGAATGTTTATCCAATGCATTCTCAATGCAGTCTTTGCTAGTTCTTAAAATTSCCTAATTGATCAATCCCTTGCTACTGTCCATGCAGTTTTTTATAACACATTTAGATACYCTGATAGCAATACCCTGGCATTATTAGGACCAAATTGCACTTAATTCTACACATCTAGTCTACTCACTTGTCCATAGTCTTCTCCAACAGATTGAGAAATTCATTTACATACACTATGTAAGAACAATCAAAAGGTCATAATTTATAATCATAATATTTGAGAGATCCACTGGATAAGCATCAAAATATTGGCAAATCTCAAATAACAGCCATCCTGCTAAATTACAGACAGTGAATCCTTCTTCTAAGAGATAATTAAATTGACCTCATTTGTTCCTCATTGCACATTCTAATATAAATAATTCAATTGAGCGTTATAATAGGCAATGTGCACTTTGTGTAAACATTTTTTTTTCAWAATTGTGCAAGTCAAAATCCTYGTGCAACACACTTTTTATAACCAACAAAAGATGTATTTTTATGTCTAGATTACTTGTCAATCAATTGAGCCTAGACTGATTGAYGCTGTTTGAGTGATTATGCTGTTGGTCTTGGTAGTGTTAACTTCATGATAGAAATTGGTGAATTGATTACCAATATTATCTGGTTGACCAACRTTGAATCCATGTTCTTCAGCCATATGCAAAAATAGCCATGATCTATTAAATACAAGAATAAATTTTCCAATAAATATCATACATTATGAAACAAATGATTGAGTAACACTTTGAATGTGCATTTATTTAGTTAAAATTTACCTGTTTTCCTCAAAATATTGTTTACAGAAGAGACATTTCCTTGAAAAACTAGAGTCACTTCGTTCACGCTGCTGTGATGCAAGAACTGCTTCCTGATGAACAAGAGATGGTTTAATTGTCTCGGTTACTTGGGCTATTCAGCTCATCCAGTTCATTGTTGTTCTGACGACGTTTCGTTGCCATTTTGTTCAACTTCTTCAGGTCGGTATAACTTCTTCTCGCTTGATCGTGTTAATAGCTGGGTGGGCTGAATAGCCCAAGTAACCAAGACAATTATACTACACAGCTCACCAAGAAAAGTTACCGATTATTAATTAAGAGAGGGTTTATTTAGGTGATTCTGCTGCATATTCTTGGCATAATTTACACAAACTGGAGGGAAAGCAGRACTGTAAACTGAGGAAGGTTTATGGGAGAGCATATAAAAACAGAAATGGAACATTTTCATGGCTCCACTACATACAGGATTCCACAAATGATACTTCCAAGAAAATGAAAAAAAGAAAACAAAATATGCACATACACAATTATTGCAGTGAAAGATAATTTTTTTAGTAAATTGTTATTTCTAAAAGCCTAGATAAGCTCAGGTCACCTTAAGTTGTTTGAAATGCCAAGAATTTAAACAAAATTCACATAAAATGAGATGAGATGAGAAGGAACTTCGTATATCATTTTGCATTAATATTTTCTTACAAGTCTTTGTTTCTGTAATTCTTCTCTCAATTTTCTGTCTTCTGGCAATGCATCACAAAGAAGGTAATAGTGAATTTGAGGGCCAATATCTGTAATGCAAGCAATAAAATTAGGATATTAAGTGGAACAAATTAGGACAAATCAAACTCAGTGAAATAGAATGATAATATAATCAATACATATTTGATTTCAATCTGTAATCATTTTAGATTATTGATTGAATCAAGAGTTGCTAGCAATGGAGGATATAGAGATAGAACATTAATAAAATTACCACCAGGCTTGCTGTTTATGTTAATTTGTGAGCAAAATGCCGTAATAGACTCTTCTTTTAGTCTCTTCTTCCAGTGTTCACAATATCTGTAAAGAAACAAAAATACTATTTATTAGYATCCAAACTGAAATTATACCATTTACAGGACACACTGCATATTATCATGTGACCTAYATTTGTCAATGGTGTGAGCCCCCTGTTTCAAACAGTGATCAAATAATATGTTGATAGATAGACCTAGCACTCTATCCTGCTTCAAATTGTCCCTCCACCAGTAACCTTGTTTTACCTCACACTGGCTCAAAGCTGTGACGAGCCCTCTCTAAGAGGTTGGCTCTAGCTTTTCATCTGTGCTATAGATATCCAGTAAGACAGCAACTATAAAACCTGCTTTTTGATCATGCTCCCTTAGTACTGAACTTCTATAATGTTATTCTAGGTTTCATTTTATTTTTTGAAAGAGAATATTTTTTCCCAAACGATCACAAGATTTCCAAGATTTCCTGGCTATCCCTCCTGTCTTTAGCACAATCTACAATTTGTAGCTCTGAGGGAGTATTTGACCTAGGCTAAGCACTGCTATTTATGGACCCAAATCAATCATTCACAACCTATGTGTGTATATCAGCATACAGAGTTTGGTTGGGAATGTTGAATGAGCTGCCAAGGGTATGCACCAATGGAAAATCCCCCCCTCTATTTGGATCCCATCCGGAAGAGCAATAACTTTTTCCTAACTGTACGATTAAAATTACCTTTTAAAATCACAAACTTGAGCAACGTCTGCAATGACAAGCTGGTGTTCAATCAGTAAATGATGCAGCAGCGTGTCATTTTTTCCGGTTGTGTTTTCAAACATCTTGTCACAAAACATGCAAGGAACGCGCTGATCGTCAGACGTCGGTTTYGATGGAGGCGGGAAAACTAAAGGTCCAAGTACATGCTCTTCTTTAGCGTTATGATCTGAAAAACACCCTAAGATCCGTAAAGAGATTTCATCAATTAAAGAACAGCGTTTGATTTGTTTCTTACCATYGTTTGAAGTTGAGAAAGTGTGATTTTGTTCATCACTTGCGGCCGCCATGTTTATTTTTGAATTTTTGAGAAGACTGGGAACTAGACATTTTACACAGGAACCCCAACAAGCTARTAGACAAAGCGCTCCAAAACGCTGTTCATTTTTTAATCTATCTTTTTTAATGTTCACCTTTTAAATATCATTTTTCTTGGATGAAGTTATTGAGAATAATCACGCTATTTCTCTATAATGTCACAGCATTGTTTAAAGACCCAGTTTGCACCATTATGCAGAAATAATTAGTAATATGCTAAAATCACATCCATTAATCGTAATGTCAATATTACTCGAAATCGAACAGATGAATTTGTTTTTAACTATTCCAAAAACGTTATACAATATTGAAGTTAATGATGGTGTCTACCGCTTTTCTGGATCTCATCAATTTTTTGAGATATTTGGGAAAAACGA